TGCTATGATATAAGTTTAGAATAGCACCGATAGGTTCCCGAAATTAGCCAAATTTCTGTAAAATATAGGAGCCGAATCAGTAAGATATCGGTTATATATACTAGACTACTATCATAGCTATATCGGTAAAATATCAGTTACTATCGGCATTCTGATACTTCTCCGGTATTCCTTTGTTTGACCTGTGTAGAGTTAACCAGAAGAGTTTAAAATTAGTAAAAAAGTTTGAATATAACTAAAAGTATTAGAAAGTCAAAATTAGCTAAATTTAAAGACAAAAGAGAAAGATTCTATATTATTTAAACAAAATTGAATAATAGAACTTATAGACTATAAATATTAGATAAAAAATTTATAAAAATATTACAATAGTAATTGATTAGCAAAATACTATAAGAAACAAATATAAAAACTAATTTTTGTAATCAAAAATCTTTAATTTTTAAAAGAAATTTTATTGAATAGAAAGAGATAAAAACAAAAACAAAATTTGTAAAACAGACAATTATACAACTTTAAAAAATTATATATAGATCCTTTTTATTTAGCAATTCTCTAATTTATATACAATATAAAATTAAATATACACAACTATACTTTGCAATCTGTAATTATTCAAGCTCTTTAATACTTCTTTACTATTTAAAGACAAGATCTTGCTATCTAAAACAATTTAAAAATTTGTTTTTCTAATACTTTTTGTAGAATCCTAATAACCTAATAATACTAGTATCGCAGGTTAATAGAACCCTTTGGTTACTAACAACCTAGCTTAAGGTAAGCACTTCTCCAACCGTTAACAACTTCAGTACTTTGCTGCTTCAACTTGGGTGAGTATTTTATTATTACTTTTCAATGATTTTTCTTTTTGCAAGTAAAACTTACTAATTACTTTTATTTTGCTTTTTGCTTTTTAAATACAAATTGACTATCGCTAATTACATAATCATTGATCATGCTATTTTAACTTATTAATTGTTTATTACTAATCACACTATTTTCTATAGACTCTATTATGATATTATTCATGCATTGCCTATTAATTTACATACTATTTAACTGATTCATGCATCATGTACCCATCTATTACCACATTGTTCTCTTGAATATTTGATATACTGATCCCGATTCTGGATGATCGTCATATGAGCACATGACCATGTAACTATGTGATAGTCAACTGATTCAAACCCTTTGACATGAGTTAAGCAACTACTATATATATATATATATATATTTTTTTTTTTTTTTTTTACTAATACAATTTATTGTCTATTGTTTAAAGCTTCAGATCGATGCTTCTTATTAAATATACTGCATACTTTTCTTCACTGTGATATGAGCTAGATTCCTCAGAACTTCGTCCCTGAAGTTTTCATTTTTGCAACATCCCAATTATCCAATATAAACACACATACTTCCATCTTAACAACCATCTGCACACAATTCACATGAATCTAACTATACTACTTTTATGCATAATTTATTGCCTTACTTCAGTATTCTTATAACTGACTGTTGCCTTACTTTAGTACTTATACCAACTGCTTATAATTTGATCTTGCATCTACAATTCTGCTCAATCAGCATTCAAATCCCATATATCATATGCTCTTAACAGTTTATTTGAACCTCCTTAAAAACAAACATCGATCCTTCGTCAAAAATTTTTTTTTTTACATTTTCCATATCATAAATATTATATTATAGCATTCCAGACATTAATTAACGCCTTTCCTTGATCAAATACATATCTTATCAGCAACATATTGCATCCATCACCTATTCATTTCATCAACAATCGACCAAGAACATTATCCTTATCCACATCACTAGCTCTAGTTCTGCAATAATTCTTTATGAAGATTTTATACTTGCAATGATATTTGCGCTCTTCAGGTCCATTGCATAGTCTATTGGCATTTTCAATCTCAGCACTGTTAACCTCAGCGATGCCCATATTATGATTATTACCTGAATCGATTGAGATACTTTCATTATCACAGTAGATTATAGCTACATTCTTTGAAGCTATACTCCCAACCAGCTCTACATCTTTCTCACCTAAATTGACAGATTTACCTTTATTAGACACTATATCTGCACCTCTAATTTCTATTTTATCTCTTAGGTTTCCATCTCCTTTCTTAATTACATCATTGTACGTTTCTCCTTTTTCATTATTCATATTTGAACTATTTTTACCCTTTTGGTAACTATACTCAATATTAGTTTGTCTACAAGACTCAACATCATTAGCAACTTTTGTATCCCACTCAAATACTGTGGCTTCATCAAATCTGGCTATGCGTTTTCACTATCGGATTCCACAAGTATATTTTTAGCATCAATTTCACCACAATATATATCAGATATTGGAGCTTTGCTTTTAATTAATTTTCTGCAATCAAATACTAATTTATTTTCATCTTCTACTTTAGGTTCTATAACTGATTCTCTACCTTTAACATACTCTGAATTCTGCTCAAGCATTTGCTTTTCGTCCTTGTTCATATTACTGGTGTTTTGGTAGCAGGTGAGTATTATATTTTCATCCCTTTTAATTTCCTTCTTTTCCTTACCACAATGTCTGATACTATACAATCTACTTACATCCTCTTTCTTCTCGTTTTCACCACTCTCCTTTTCATCACTTGCTTTAACTGCCTTTTCTTTTGTATTTTCTACCTCTTTTACAAAATTATTACAATCCGTATTATCCCAGAACCATTCGAGTAGACTTGTCTCACAACTTGCATTAGGCTTCAGATCTTTACAAGATACTTTATTTTTAACCTTACCAACATCTTCTTCTTTTTCTGTACTATCATCCAAACACCACTATGTTAAGTCCATCTTATAGGCCATTAATACAATTATTTGGCAAGATTAATGGTAATCTGCTTAGGTTCTCGTATCTTAGGTTAATAGAACCCTTTGGTTACTAACAACCTAGCTCAAGATAAGCACTTCTCCAACTGTCAACAACTTCGGTACTTTGCTGCTTTGACTTGAGTGAGTATTTTATTATTACTTTTCAACGATTTTTCTTTTTGTAAGTAAAACTTACTAATTACTTTTATTTTGCTTTTTGCTTTTTAAATACAAATTGATTATTGCTAATTACATAATTATTGATCACGCCATTTTAACTTATTAATTGTTTATTACTAATCACACTATTTTCTATAGACTCTATTACAATATTATTCATGCATTGCCTATTAATTTACACACTATTTAACTGATTTATGCATTATGTACCTATCTATTATCGCATTGTTTCTTTGAATGTTCGATATACTGATCTCGATTCTGGATGATCATCACATGAGCACATGACTGCATGACCACGTGACGGTTGACCAATTTGAATCCTTCAACATGAGTTAAGCAACTACTATATATATTTTTTTTTTACTAATCCAATTCATTGTCTATTGTTTAAAGCTCCAGATCAATGCTCCTTATTAAATACACTACATACTTTTCTTCACCGTAGCACTAGTGATATGATTTTTTTAGTAAATACTGTAGTAGATATTCTTCTAAATCTATCAATATAGAAGAATCTTGAATAATATTCTAACTAAAAAACCAAAAATAGATCTAATCTTAAATAATTCTCTATCTAATACAGAACAAGAAGAGAATCAAACTCTAAATAACTCTCTTTTTAAAATAGAATTAGAGACAAAAATATATTAAAAAGTTTAAAATAAACTAATCTAATTTCTTACTTCTTAATTATATAATCATTCTAACTCTTTTATTGGTAGAGCTTAAAAAGACTAATTAATTAAAATCTTTTAACAACTAGAGAATAAAAGCTGAACTTGACTTTAACAAATAAAAATTATTGAAGCTTATCTGTACTTAGAAATTCTTATTCAGAAACAATCTAATAAATAACAACAAATTTGTAAACTTATTTAAGTTTTACAAAGCTTTAAAAACTCAAAATATTTGAACAAAAGCTACTTGTTTTTAACAAATCTTTAGTGTTTATCTCAAAAAATTGTTATATCAAATCTGATGCTTTACTGTTACTTATATTGTCAAGTTTATTAATAAAAAATTTTAGTCTTTAATTAAAAATTTGTAATACAAATTTTTATAAAGGAACAGAAATATTATAAAACAGTTTACTTTTTTTTTTGTTTCAGTGATCCTTCTTTTATTATTTAAATTGGCCATAGCCATACCCCTGTAGAGGCTAATCTACCTAATATACTACATTATGTTTGTACTAATAAAAAATCACTCGATCTATTAACAAAAATCTAAAATAGATTCCACAAGGAAAACCTAGATGTGATCCACCTAAG